CTTTAGCTTCTCAGTGCTGTGCTTTAACCCGCTGCGCCACCAGGGAGGGCCTAAATTGGCAGTTTTTAAGGAGTTTCCTTTCTAGGAAATATGTAAAGCTGTGTCGCAAAATATATTTTAAAAGCAAGATAAGTTGGAAACAGCACAAACAGCTAACAGTAATACATGGCTGATTGATTATAGTAAGTTATAGTCATACATTTACATTCTTTTTTTCTTTTAACACTGAATATTTTGTGATGGGAAGATTTCATGTTACTATCTATAAAAAGCTGATCGCAATCAGAATGTAAGTAATGATTACATCTTTATAAAAATAAAGAATAGTACCAATAAAAAAGGACTGGAAAAGTAATTGGCAATTATTTGAAAATGGTGATATGACAGTTGTTTTGCTCCTCTGTATTTTGTCAAATGAACACAGGCTGGCTTCTCATGATACTACTCATAAAGAAGCAGCAGAGATAATGACAGCAGCAGTAACAGATCCTTTTTATCTCCAAACATTTTGAAAATTTATATGAAAATCTAGTGCTACCTAGCTTAAGACAACTTTATTTCTACATATATATAACAAAGGTTTAAGAGAGTCAGGATTAAGCATTGATTGGCTTATTGTAAGGATAACGTTGATCATATTTTGGACCCTAGTAGCAGCCTAAATTTATTTCATCACAAAACAAAGGAATTAACAATAATAACATCTAGACATGCACATATTTCACTCCATATTCTCCTTTTTTTTCTAGTTATCAAACACAGCAAAGACATAATTGCAAAAGCCAGCTATAAAGAGAAGTGCTGGTGGCTTTTTTCTTATGTTGGGTGGAGATAGTGACAGTCTGAGCTAGTTAGTGATTCAGGCTCAGAGGCTCACAGCTGTCACAGAGATAAAGCAAGGAAATAAATGTGGGGCGAGAAGGCATCTTACGGGCCAGTCCAGGGTCAAGCATAGCCCGCATGTTTAGAAAGTGTTCTTGTGAGCCCCAAGATCGAGAAACAGTCATCTCATAAGACACATAACCACTTGTTATGTGATGGAAGAGATGATGGAA